TAAAAAATCGAGAGAAAATATAAACAGAAATAAAACTGGAAATAAAAATAAAACTATAAAAATGAAAATAGAAATGAAAGTGAAATGCGATTGAAAAAAAGAAGTAAAAGTAAAAGTCAGAAATAAAACGTATAAAATAAGGAGATGGCATAGCACCAAATACGCGCTTCATTGCAATAGAGTAATATAACTGCAATTTCACTTTTTAAAGCCATTCAAGAGACACCAAATTTTGGTCAAAAAAGTCTTTCCTCTTCTCCAGCTGAAAATGTAAAATATTTGACAAAATTAAGTTATTAATTAGGACACGTGTTAGGTCTTAGTGGAAGATCTTATAACAAACCACTTCCACGGGTCTACATAGCTACGTAAACTGAGAGCATCAAACATTGACAAAACTACTAGTTACACTCATCATTGTTTGATCAGTCTTGCTTTTAAAAGAAACCAAAGCAAGGGTCGAGCAGAAACGGAATAATGTTCCTTTTCTGTCTGATTCATACAGATGAAATAATGCTTTCGAAGAATTAAATTTTTAAAGACTACGTTAACTGATGATCCATTTCATTATTACCTCTAAGCAAATTGCATATATGCTTAAGCAACAGTTTACAGTCTAAACAGGTAACAGTAACCCTTGTTCATTTTAACGTTTTCAAGTCTCAAGATTGGTTGAAAACTTTTTAGCTGTTAGGTGTTGCCTCTTGTCGGCCTAATAATACTGCAAGAATAAAGTTGTCTGTAAGTGTGATACTTATTTCGTTTGAAAATAGTGAAAATTCATTTCATTTTTAATATTGCGGTAGACAGTAAGATTAAAAGATCGGTCAGTGGTTAAAAGCGTTCAGTTACAAAGCGGTTAGAAAATAAAAATAAAAAAGACCAAAACAAAGAAGTGCTTTTCAAAAAAAAGGAAATGATCAAAAATAAATTTCTAACGATCAGTCAATGCCGATCAAGAAGCACGCCGAGGAACCACCAGGATAATGCCAAATGAATGAACGTTTGCCTTTTTTTTTTTTTCAAAGCAAAACTCTCTTTGCTAGTTGTCATATCGCCAAGCAAAAACGTGTAATTCGGAAGATCATCGTAACGTGATGATCTACGATTCACCATTATTTCAACTCGCTAAGGACAAAAAACTCCTATAAAAAAAGATAAAAAACAATCCAGAAAAACCAGGCATAAATCTTACCCGCTATTTCAGTTACAAAGCTATAAAACAAATAAATAAATGAACAGTAAATCAAAATTTGCTCAATCCTTACAAAAATCATTGCATCGACGTTGCCGCCATTCTTTGTTTACCCTAAGAATTGGTTGACCCCTTACTTCCTCTGATCTATACATCTAAAAATTGTGTGTAACAGATGACGATTTTTTTAAGCAGTTAACTGTCGTCTAAATATTGCTTCAAAGTAACAAAACCTTTTGTGGACTCCCCTTTGTGACAGTAATAGTTGTTTATCTGAAAAAAGATGATTTTTGAAAACAGCAACAAGCAGTACTTAAATTAAAAATATTTATTGAACTATGTCAGGCAAAAAAAAAGATCAAAATTGTAGTAACAGTTTCTTGAACTGCATGCTGATGCGACTACAGCATTACAGCGTGATTTCAGAATTGGAGACAAAATATATTGTCAAAGCCTTAATTGTTGCACAATGGCGACAAATGTAATCAACTTCAGTGAAAATTGGCTGAAATCAATTAATTCAGTCAATAGAAAAAAAAAGAAATATTATTGCAGCAATTTTTAATTTTTTTAAAAATACTTGTACAGAAGAGAAGCCCAGGAAGCTTAAATACCAACCACGTAACGTCATCTGGAAACATATGATTATTTCATGATTAATTTGTTCAAAGCTACAAAAATAGAGAAAAAAAAGAGAAAAGGGAAAAAGAAGCAGCCTTGTTAAACCGATTAAGATATAAGACAAATGCAGACAATGCCAAACGAAATCTGTCTCCTGTAGAATAGTAATTTTATAGATTGTTGACTTTCAGTACGGTTTTGCTGTATGGTGAGTGTTGGTAAGTGTGTTATGTAAATGTGTTCCAGCTAGTAATACAAATTTTTTTTTCAGCTATAAACAAAAATAATATCACTAAATAAAGCAATAAAAAAAGACCAGTAAATAAAAAAACGAAAAACACAGCGCACTGGTTTGATGCAAGTGGAAAGAAAGTAAAGATTGAAGAAATACAGTAAAAAAAAAAGGTGCAACAGTATTTATCTCCACACTTCCCGTCCCAACCATTATTCCACTTTTTTCCTCAGTTATACGTCTTATTGGTGGTTTTTTTAAATCAAGTAAAACCCTTCAGTTTTCGATCCATCTTGAACTTGAGGGAACTGTGAAGAAACGGTTAGGGTGAGTGTAGACGTCTTCCTGTCACACTACTTCAAAGACTGGTGATTTTTGTGGCACCGATGACTTCTTCAGTAAGAAAACAATGAAAACAAATATCAGCATCAGAAATGCAACAGTTATTCTTACAGTCTGCCTTCTGCAAACCACCGTAACTTCAACAACCATATGATTAGCAAAAGCTGGATAGAGCAGAAATTTTTTTTTTTCAGAAGACCGTACACGCTTCGTATGAAAAAAAATATTAGCACCATCTGCATTTGCAAGTTAAGATGAAGAAGTATCGCGAAATTTTTCCTCCATTTTGACAACAAATAACTAGGCCACCTGTGTTCCGATTTCAACCGTCATCATCATCAACACTTATAGCATTCTATCTATTTCTTTGCTTACTTTACTTTTCATCGGTTACGTGCTTATTGCTGTCCTTTTATTAACCCACTGCACTTTCTCGTATAACTCCAAATCCAAAAAAAAACCTCACTACAATCGCTTTTAGCTATAAAACTTTTTGTGATTAGCAGCTTCAGAAAAAAAAATATATTAATAAACAAAAAAAGCAAAATAAAAACCAAATTAAAGTCACAAAAAAAGTAAACGTAATAAATATAATTAACTTTTTCTTTTCTTCTTCCTCTTACGGTTTAAGTAGCCAATATCGAGAAACGACAGCTTCCTTATCACATAACATGCTAACATATTTTTCAGACATTCTAAGAAAACTCCTGACGTAGTTTACTAAATGAATTTGTAAGATAAAAACCGCCACAAAAGACAGATACTGAAAAAATGCATACTGAAAAAAAATCGTTGAAAAATTTTTAAAACTGCCCGGCGACAAAATGAAAGAGTTTCTCTTTTTACCCTACCATTCCCGATAAACTTTGAATCTAAGAAAGAATAAAAATTTGCCAGACCTTTTTCCGCTTCTACTAGCTTTCAAAGTTGAATATTCAAAAAAAGATTAGTGTTTTAAAGTGAAAAAGCCAATTGCAGTGTTCACAAACAAAATCAGCATCGTTTGAATCGTCGATGAAGCTGTCACATCGTCAAACCTTCTATCACCAAACAGTAGCTTCAGCACTGTTTTTGCCACTTGAGCAACTGAAGAAAAAAAAAGTAGAAAAGGCAGGAGAAAAAATAGGCGTTAATAGCAATTTTTCTTAATTCTCCGATCTCCTTAACACAAAGACATTGCGATAAAAAATAAGCTTAAGTAACTGAGGCAAACACAGTCTGTCATTTTCGCTACCAGCGCTGCAGCATCATCCTTTTGTAAAATAAGATCTCTTCAACAAAGAGTAAATTTTCTCTTTTGCATGCAGA